TTCCTGGTTGCCGAGTTGAAAGTGGGTGACAAAATGCACTCGCATTGCGAACACACACACACACTGCCTCTCGACAATATGCGTTTCTGCTGGCTGTAGCAGCGCTATAGCGCTGCACAGCAAAAACGCATAAAAAGCCTTTAGCTTACTGTTAGGCTCCCTCATCAACAATATGTAAGCACAGCAGCAAATATGAAACAAAGTTTTTACTCCCTTTTTATGTGTTTTTTTGCATTTATGCAATGCATATCGCATACTGTTGAAGGGTTGTATCTGTTTTTTTGCATGTGTGCTCGTCTGTACCGATTTTTCGTCTCGAGACTTGCAAGAGCTACAGGGCTGAAACTCTGAGGACTTATTTTACATGCATTTGCAGACCAGTGAAAGATTTTGCGGGTAGATTGCTAACTAGGGCTAAAAAGCTGTAATTTTAAGGGGATGTTCTCCGTCCACGTAGGAGTTAATCAGTTCACACTCAACCCCGATGCGTGCGTGTTTTTCACGTACGGGCCTCTGACAACAATTCTCCTGTGGAAATTTTTGCGAGTAAGTTGCTATTTCGAAAATCAGTGTAGCTAGAAGGTTGAAATTTTAATGGGGATATTTTCTGACAGTCCTGATGGCTAGTCTCAGTTCTCTTAGCTAGAAGCATCTGCCGGGAAAAACAGTGCCATTAGCGACAAAAACCTGCGGAAAACTGCAAAAAACGCATCTTCGCGCCGGCATTTAATGCGCTGGCCAATCATTATTGTTTATTGTGTCACGCAAAATAAGATTTTTTTAGCTTAGAACGAATCAAACGTACAGAGGAGATTAACTTTCATGTTTTGCTATAATAGAGTTCAAAGACAAAGTGGCTTCCTGTTTCTCTTTTACCACTGTTTTTCCCTGTCAATTCAGTTTTTTAATTTTAGATCTTCTGACTAAATTTTTAATCAGCCTTCTGAGTTTTTTAGCAGCACAGTTTGACGCTTTCCCAATTGAATCCATGTGTTTTCCACTGAACAGTTTCCCTTCTGGATGATCTTAACGCACACTCCCCCCTTCTCTCTCTCCCCAGCTGACACTGCTTAAAAATATTTGGTTGACTTTACAAGATCGTAGGTTTGAGGCCTAATATAAAGTCATCAGCAGAGCGCCTTGCCTAAGGAAATTTTTTTAGCCGTCTATTGTGTGTGCTCCTCGAAAAAATCCAGCACTAGCCGGGATCCGAAAACATGTGCCACCTTTTCCTGACAAAGATATCGCCAGTGATTATCTCGCGAAACAAATGACGAGCTATAAAACGCACTACAGCTATAGCTTCTTCGACACCCTCCACACAAAGGTTTATTTTTAGTTCTAATTTTAGAAGTTTTGAAAACAGTTGATTTTTTTGGAACTTCTGAATTAGATGTAATAAAACGGCGAAGGAAGAGAGATTACCTAATCTAAAACCCCCAAAAAACCCCAGTAGTGCTCATGTGCCGCCAATGGCATATTTGCACTGATGTATCAAGGCTGTCAAAATTAATAGATTTGCAAAAGCCATAATTATCAACTTCTTAGTTGCAGATTTTGTTGTCAGTCTATAATCTTCGCAAAAACTTTCTCATAATACCATTTCTTAACCTTTTCTTGTAATCTCTTATAAATCTGATCTTTGCTGATCAATTATATTTATTACTATTTTAAGAAATTTATTATGCGTTTTTTGCAGCTATGCAATGCAAAAACGCATATTGACGCGGGGTTGTGTGTCCGTGTGTATGTGTGTCTGTGTCTGCGCCTGTTACGCATTTTCATCACAAGACCTATAAAAGCTGCAGAGCTGAAATTTTGGGAGCTTAATCTACATGCACGTGCCGGCCCAAAACCCTAAAATGAGCGCCATCACCCGCGTAGTACTCGCGTATGGGCCCGCCAAAATTTTTTTGGAGCAAGTTAATAAATCGGAGATCTGAGAAGCTAGAAACCAGAAATCTTAGGCTGATATTCCCTGTCCAAGTAGGTGTTAATGCACTGAAACCCATCTCGCGGGTAAGCATGGTACCTGCGTACGGTCCCGCCAAAATTTCTTTCGGGCTAGTTCATAACTCGCGGATCTGAGAAGTTAGAATGCAGAAATCATAGAGGGATGTTCCCTGTCCAAGTGGGTATTAACGAGTTCAAACCCTGCTCGCGGGTAAGCGTGATGCCTACGTATGGGCCCGTGAAAGTTTCTTCCGAGTAAGTTGCTAACTCACGAACGTGAGAAACTTGAAGACTGGAATATTGAAGGGATGTTTCCTGACAGTGCTGGCGGCCACTCTGAAATTTTTTTAGCTAGAAGCATCAGTCGGAAAAACCAGTGCAGTTAGCGACAAAACAGGGGGCTATGCAAAAAACGCATCTTCGCGCGGGCAGCCCTTGTGTGGCCAATTATTTTCCTATGTGTTGGTGTCGAAACATAAAAAAATTCTAGACAGTAGTAGCGACGTTAACGATATTTTACATGGTGGCATTAGTAATGTTCAATTTGATAGCAGACGCGACGGTTCCGGACTCCGCAATTTATAATTACACATGTCTTGCAAGTTCAGTAATTTTGCTTGCTGTGCTTCTAGCGCAGTACGGATTGCGCAAAGAATTAGCATTTTGCTTACTGCCACTTATCCTTATTCAGGTAAATTATTACCAACTTTGTAATAGTTTTTTTCTGTCGCAATCATTTACGTAATTCATGCGTTGTTTGATGTAAGATAACAAATACAGCAAATTCTAGGCCTAGGATTTGAGATTTTGAACTAAACTCCAGAAATTTCCATAGCACTGTCCATCAGCTTTTTGGCACGCAGTTGCTTATTACCTAAAGAATAGCTCAAGTAATGGGCGCCGAGCTTTAAAGATTTTACTAGATTTTTTAAGTAGGCCGTCTATGCAAAATGAGTATTTAATATATGACGCATTCATTTAGTAGTTATACTTTTGTCAGCACATCGATGCATCTAATTTCTACTTATGATAAGAAAGATTTTGTTGTTGATAGAAACTAAAGCATCACAGACCGATTTATTCGAAATTTATTCAGAAAGGAATGTTATATTTGTTTTGTCTTCTTTAGCTCACGGCGAGCAGTAGTATATAAACTCTGTGTGGCGGTAAACACCTCTGATAGGATATTAGAAGTTATGAGTATCTAACTGCAGATACTAGAAATTAAACGGGTGAGAGCTAAGTGCGCCGAGCTGCAAGTAAAGAAATTTTAGGAATTATGACAGGAAAAGACTGCGCAGCAGAGCACATTTTGCTTTTACCATGATTTTGTTAAGAAAATCTGTCCTTTCCTAAGATTTGCTGAAAAATTATATTCAAAAAAAAAATTGTTCTTAATCGAAACTTTCAAAATACCCACTTCCAAAAAAATGCTAATTTCTTCACTGGTATTCACAATTTTTCTTGCAGCTGATACTGGGTATTGCATTGGCACTGACGCTTGGTGATTCTATTGTGTTTCAATTTGATTGCTTCCGCCGTGCTGTTTGCTCGTTTGGTAATTTTTACATTGTCAAAATTTTCACTGTAGCCGATGTATCGTTGGGCTTATCCTAGGAAACGCTTTGATGCATTTGTGATGCAACTTCGGCATAAGTACTTTCACGATCAACGATATTCTTTTGTCCTCGTCAGAACTATAAAATACATCGTCACAAAGTTGGCCCCAAATTGACTCACGGCTGCTCTGCACACATCCTTACCCCTAACTCTTTCTTACCCTGAAATTAAATCGTATCCTCTGCACTAGATCTTTTAAAACTAGTCTAGAAAACTGTCTTTTCGCCCCCAACTGCTAAAAACTTGAGTTAAATTCTTCTTGATTATGTAATAGGGTGCCAGATTTCAAACCTTACATTGTTTACTTTTTTTTAAAAAAAATAACTCTAAAGTTTAGAAAAGGAGTTTAACTAAGCACTAGATTAAAGCATTTTAATCTCTCACCAATGTTGTGCGCTTGAATACCTCTGTGGAACTCTACGGACGAGAAAGGCTCAAAATGAAAGAATAGAAAAGTTGTCGGCTGTAATGGCGAGAATTACGAAGACGAAACTGTATCAGTGCAAAAAGTTCCCGTTCTCTCTCTCTCTTAGCCCAATATTTTGTTTGGGAAGATCGTGGTAAGGGGGAATTCTCGAAGCTGTTGCTTACAAAGGTCACCACTGTTAGTTTGAATTGCAGCTCGACTGGAGATGTTTGTCATGGCCAGTTTGATACTCGTGGTGCTCCACTGCTACTGCGTTTTGGTCGTGTGGCGCTGTTGGCATTATTTTAGATACACCAAAAAGGTAACATTTTGCCCCGATTGAGCAGCCTAAAATGCCTAATTCAAGGGATGTTATAAATCAGATGTGTTGGACAGAGAAGTGGGGAAGAGGGGCAAGGAATATAAATCCATTCTCCTTCTATAAATCCCTTCCTCCCCCTGCCTCTCCTCCCCTCCTCCGCCTTCTGTTTTCAACTCCTACCTCCAGCCAAGGTCTTTCCTTTTTTTCATTTTAGAGAATAGAGCTTGAACAAATGTGGCATGCCGAGAGCGCCGATGATGAAGTTATACTTTTCGATAAACGTGCGGCTTAATAAACCATTTTGAAGTTTAGATTTTTGCAGAGACAATTTAGCATCTCTTTCGAACCGTAGCTTTAAAGTTTCAAGTGATGCACCTTGAACATCTCTTGTCCTCCTCTCTCCATTTCGATATTATTTTTGCCGTTCAGTTAAATTTCCTTCAGATTTCATTTCTGTTAATTATATTTACAGACGTATCTTCCCCTGTATTTGCATGCTTTTTTTGTCTGTAATACATAAATGGTTTGTCGAATAAACTTGAAAAAAATGAAGTAACAAATGTTCATAGTGCAAAAGTTTTTCAGAAGTAAAAATTTTTATGGGAATCCACACTGTGCTGGGCGGTGCACAGACTGGAGGGCCAGTTAGATGAATAATGGGTTTAATGTTTTATTACGACAACAGCAATAATGCAGACAATAGCAATAATATACAGAGCTTGACGGTTGGGCTCTGACGAACGGGATGGCCTGCTTAGCAGGGGATTTAGCAAGTTCCGAGCTCGAATAGTTCTCTCGAGACGAAGGTGTCTGAGTTCCAGTAGTGTCCGAAAATTGCGACGGCGGGAGTCGTAGCTGGCGAGCCGGGGTTGGTGTTGGTCGAGAAGAGTGAAGCCGACGAAGAAGCTGAGCCCAGCCAAGAAGAATGGTAGGGAGGTTTATAAAGGGGGTTAAGGCCCGCCCCATGGGATGATAAAATTTTGGAATTTAGGGAAAAGGGAGATAAAATGAGGTGATAGAGGAATAGGGATAGGAGGCCAAAAGAAGATGAGGAAGAAGATAAGCGGAGAACGAAACGGTTTTTATAGGTATAAAAAAAGGGAAGGACAAAAATGGACGAAAACTGTAAACACATACGAATGCAATTGGCATTCCTGATTCACAGGC